GTAGGAAGCATAACATTTTTAAAATTTCGAACAGTTGTATTTCTGTACCATGAAATTTTAACTAGTTACGATGCCTTTATTTTTTTTTTGTCAGAGCTTAATATTTTGTATGAAATTCGCTAAATATTGAGACATACTCATTGTTTATTAACAATGGTTTTTAGACTCAAAAAGTCTTTGGTAATTGATATAGTTAAATTAAGAGTCAAAAAAGGTTCACTTGTGCTTAACTTTTTATAATCATGTAGCTTTTGAATAGATCTTTCTGATAATATAAGAATAATAATGATTTGTTTTAATCATGGTAGCATCCACTAGTTTATGTTTGGTAATTTTATCTATTTTTATAAGATACACATCACGCCAAAATGAAGTGGATTCTATTTTTCATTTATTTATGTATGTATGGTTCCGTAGAGCTTGAAGAGCCTAATTATGAGTATATAATTTTTATTTGAATTAGGCTACAGTTTCATTGCAAAAATTTTCATATACTGATAAAATCTCATGTACAACCAAAAAACAATATTTTCTCATTATAAATCGTAAGTTTCTATATTTTTTTTTCTAATTCAGCATCAAAAAAGCTGAGTAACGAGATATTATTTGTAAATCTATGTAGTTTTTTTGTGACAGTAGAGAAGATCAAATGTCTTGCCTCATATGAACCTACTGATGTTGTGCTACAATTATATTCATTTATTTTTTTTGCAGTCTTCATTTCATTGTTGAGAAAAACGAACATTTCCGTGTTTTATCAGTAAACGAATCAAAAATGATCTTATTTCTAGCAGTTTGTATTAGCAGTATTCAGTTGAAAAACAAAATAAATAATATATTTAGAATCAAAGTGAAAATCTACACCGAGCCACATATATTTTTTCAAAATCTCTTTTCCAGGGAAAATGCACTTGTGCTTCATGTCACTGTTTTCTTCTAAAATTTTGTCTGCAGTTTTTCGGAACTCGATCTTCCGTTTGACATAGAATGTGTTGAAATGAATGTGATTGAGTGTATATTTTCACGCTAATTATGAATATGATGTTTGTTGTACTTTTTCATTAACTTTTAATAATGGAAGCTGCAACAAACAAGGTCATTTTTGATCCTTTTACCACTAAAACAAGATAATGTTCAACTTCCTCACCGATAGAACAAAATCTAAAGGAAAACTAGATAGGATTACAAGTTTCTACAAACACATACTGATTTGCGTATATATATATATATATATTGAGATCTTATCAGTTTTCAAGCTTTTTGCAGCTAAAGAATAACCTAATTGAAATAAAAACTATATATTCATATTCTGTTCTTCAAGTTCTATCCACCTAAAAGAAAATGAATGAAAAATGACGTCCATGACAATTGTGCGCTGTTATGCAATTGATGACTTCGATAACATTAGGAACAGAAAAAAATCGTACTAGCGACTATCTTTTCTTTTGTTAAGAAGAAAATATATAAGATGATATCGAGTTCTTTTGAAACATATATCGATAGACAGTACTTGTCGACATAAATTGAATGATCTATTTTTTTTCTTTCCGCGCTATGATCGATTTCATACAACAGTGTAAACTTTTTTTAATGTAAATGGTAGAATTAGGAACAAATTAAAAATCAATAGAGTTCGATCTCTTCTCTACTAGCAGGCTCCTCCTAAGCGATGAGTTGATCATTCGGTAATTAGTTTTATGTCAGTGAACAGAAAAATACTTGCTCTTTTCGGTAAAGAAAACATGACTTTTCTACCATGTATATAATCCGAGTTATGGCGTAAATACCAAAAGTGTTTTTTTTTCTGTCAACATCAGAACACCTGACTCTTTAATGAAATAAATTACTCAGGCATTCTTGAGGTTAGCTTTCAGTTTTACATATCAATCTTGGTAATGCATTGTTATTCAATGATGTGTCATGCTAATGTCATGACTTCTAAGGAACAAGTATATAGGAGATTATATTAAAGCTATACATTTTAACTAAAGTGCATTTTTCTTAGACAATAATCAATATTTAGAGTAGCTTCCGGCAAAAATGATTGAATAGAGATGACCTTTTGTCTCTTATAATCTTCCATGTTTATAGCATATATATATATATATATATAACTATATAAGCCTTATTCTTTTTTCATCATTAGATTCATTTGGCATGCATCATAAACAGCAAGTATAGAGTTATTAGGTCGTTATTTTTTGCTTATGTCTTTAATTCTGTTCTTTTTCTTCCATCATCAGCACATTTAGTGAACCAAGTACTCATATATGTACGTCAAACATTCTTTTGTTTTTTCTTTTATCAATGCTAGACACAACCAATGTCACGTTAAAATGTGTAAAAGTATTGTTCTCATACGTGATTTTTACTCTAATCAGTATCTATCATTTTTTTTCTTCAACATGTAATGAGTAATCTAGTGTCCTTCATTTCTTTCGTAGAATTTTATTTGAACATGTGCTTGGTTATATTTTTACGAACACACAATTAATCTGTTGTCGTCTTTTCATTTTTACGTTAACGATTTTTCGCGTTTCTATGGTAAAAAGAACATGTTAAAGCTCTTCTCATTAGCTTTACATGAAACAATACAATTATTTCACAAATGCTTCTAATAGATGGACGTCATTAAGTTGATAGTTGATGGTGAGTATTTTCCGAGTTGTTGTTCTGTTATAATAAAATCATCAATGAATAAAATATTACATATTACAGAATATTGTAGCGTTAAAAAGTTTGCATGTAAGGTCGAACAAGTAATTATAGAGGTAGATAATTCTAAATTTCAGATAGAAAGAAAAATAATCGATTTCTAATCTTCACCACTTTTATCTATATGGGTGATTTCATTTCTTAGCAACATGGTATGAAAAAAGACAACTATTTTTATTATGCGAGTTTTTATTTGCAAATTCAAATAATATTTTTGAAAACTCAATAGGACATATTGTAGAAGACTTGTTAAGTAATCGCACTCAAAGGAGGAAAATCTTCAAGCAAAGTTTTTTTATCACATGTATAACTTCCGAGTTTATTTGTTGTTAGTGACATGGATGAGTATGAATATAGCAAGGAAAAATCCTCTTGTAACTGTATGAAAAGTCCAAAAAACTAATTCCAAATGGTATAAATTCTTTCTGAGCATTGTGAGATGATAAAAAAAACAAAAAGTCTCGTTCTGAAACAAGATCAGACATCTGAAGAAACAAAACATTTGGAAAGGCAATATTTTTTAATCTGACCTTGCTGAGAATGTCATCATAAACAATGCTCATGACGTGAAGTCTATCTTGACGTTTTCGATAATAACTTTTTAATCAGCTAATTAATTTTAATTAGATGTGAGTGGAAAAAGCCAATATTTTTACGTGTTCATAGAAAAAGAACTTGCTCAAAAGAAAAATAATTTCTGTAAAGAACCGTCGAAAATTATTATGTCACGTTATGAGTAACAATAGGTTAAATAGGATAAATTTTGTTTTTAATAATAAAAAAAAAAGATTTTTTTAATTGTCGCTATAGAAAACAAACTCGCTTCAGAAAATAGATCGAAATTAATTTGTATAACAAGATAAATCGCTCTCTATTGAATATATAATAGAGTAATTCTAATGATTCATTGATGTGCACCATCAATGAAGCAGATAAGTGTTAAAAAACTATTTCCTAAATAGAAAATTTTATTATAAGTTCTATGAATTCATTTCTATTGAAATATTATTCAATATTTCGTCTCAGTGATCATAACGATTCTAAACATCTATTGAAATTTGATTTTTCTAAAATCATTGTTTTTTTTTTTACTATTTATTCTTATATAAAGTTTATATTTAATTTATGATTAGGTTAACCATTATTTTTTAATATCATGTCATAATCAAACTAAGATGGTTGATTAAATATTTACAAGTTTTTATTTGTATTCAAACATATTCTAATATTCAACATTAGCAAAGCATGTTTTTTCATGCAAATCTATTCAGAAAGAGAATGTCAGTTACATTTCATATCAGAATATATTTAATTTATGCTACTACTACTTGAATTTACAACACACGAAGCAGCTAATAGTATTCATTCTATAAATTAGACTCATTATTCTTCGATATTCGCTGTTAGTCAATAAAATTCTATTCACAGTGTACTAATATTATTGTACTTTAAAGAATAATATTTAAGAGAAACTAAAATATGATCTATAAAAGAGAAGACAGCAAAACCTGTGTACTTCATTTTACCGTATGGTAGGGTAAAGTTATTCTCCAAAAGTTTTTAACTATTTCAAGTATAGTATTAACATGTATCATGAACATATTAGTCTGATTTCATTGTATATAAGTATGTCTAATAATGAAGTTTTTGGACTTCATTATTAGACATACTTATATACAACAAAATCAAACTAGTATGCTTATGACAATTGTTGACACTATACTTGAAATAATTAAAAAGCTGCAGAAGATAACTTTGACAAACCCTTGCAGTACAATGACGTACGGAGTTTTTACTTTTTCTTTCGTTGATTCATGTCATTATATGTACATATCTAACATGACTGGATTAATATTACTATTTGAATATATAGGTTTCTTATTTCATATTTTCATTTTTATTATAGAATAATTGAATGATATGATATTCACAGAAGAAAATTTAAACTTATTTACTGCATACATACGTAATGTTCTTTATGATATAGATCGTTTTATTGACAAAAGAAGTAAACGATAAGAAGCATTCTCTCTTCTTCGATTTGTCATATGTTTTACAAAAACGTTCGGTTCATATTTATTCAAGATAAGAAGGGAGAAAGTAAGTGTTATAAACTACTAGAACACAAGAAAAATTTTCTGCATTACATTAATGTTGTGATATTTGTATAGTTAAATTTTGATGTGATTAGTTAAAAGAACTGAATCTTAGTTTTGTGATTTGATTTTCTGAGATTTTCTTTATTAATTATATCTTTTTTAATTTGCATAGGTGCAGATGAATCCATGTCATTAACTATTCGATTATATAAAAGGCGAAAATTTATCATACTTTTTCTAATTTTAATTATATTAATTGGTAGTTTTGTGATATTTCAATCTATTAATAATTATTTGGATAGTATAAAACAGGTAGGACATAAGATAACAAAAAGTATTTTAATTACTTGATTGATACATATATATATTTATTTATTTGTTCAGTCAAATTTATATCTTCAACGACAAGCATCAAAATTCAATTCTTCATTTTTTCAACGAGCTATTTTAATTTTCTATCCATCTAATCAAGAATCACATTATTTACCAGAAATTCGATGGTTATATCGTTCATGGATTGAAATGATGAAATATGAATCGAAAAATTGGAGAACAGATTTAATTATATATACTGGAGAATATTCTTCATCATTTCAACAACTTGGTTGTATTCTTAATCAAAGACGTCTAAATAATACTGAACCACCACAATGTCGAGTATTTCTTTATCTTCGTTTATCAAAACGTGAAATCAGTTCTTTAACTCAACAGCAAACAATATTAACGAATCAAGGTAAAAAAGAATTATTTGACATTGACAGTCAACGTTCAATATTATTGTATAAACAAATAAAATCATATGAATATATTGATTCTGTGAATATTATAGCAGAATCTTATCCAACATATAAATATTATGATTTTATACTTAAAACTGATGTTGATGTTTTTATAACGACACAGTTTGCTAAATATGTACCTCTTACAAATATAACATTATTGGTTGGTCGTGGTGGTTATTCAACAAAATTTAATACACGTCGTTTAGGACGTATTGCTCGAGATATGAATTGGAAATATCAAAATATGACTAATGTTGGATCAACATGGTAAGCCGATAGCACTTGAATTTCTTTCTCTTTCGACAACTTTTAATCGCTATTTGTAACATGCGCATTAAAGCCTCATCTCAATTATTATATGAAGGAGCTGATATATTGTTGATATTTTAACAATACTCAATGGTTCTATTAAAATCTTTACCGCACTAAAAATAAACACAAGATTCTTGATAAACTGATATAAATAATTTCGTCATAAGTAGAAAAATTTGTTTTAACCTTCAGATCTCTGAAGGCAGAATACAAAAGGTTGCAAATCAGACGTCTGTTATTTAGATGATTGCTTTTTTAAATTTCTATTCCGAGTATCTCGATTTGGTCTCTGTGTAGAACTCAACAAGAGTTCTTAAATATCAAATGTTCCATTCAAATTTGAATTTTTTTCATATCCTAGTACTTTCCTCCGAGGCCTAGAAAAAGCATTTTTTTTTGTTTATGAAGGAATTATCTATATCAGTTCATCAGAGGTGCTGCCATTATTTTTAGTATGATAAAGTTTTTAATACACCCGTTGAGTTGTGTTAAAATAGTGTCAATACATCAACCCCTTCATTTAGTGAAATAGACTATTCTTGGAAACAATCTTACCAGTTGACAATGAGCCTTTGTTATTCCCAAAGATGTTATATGTGAAACATATAGAAATCAATAGTGCAATTTTTGCCAGAGTTCATATTGTTATTCACTTGTTCTCTGGCATTGGGCTGAAGAGACAAAGTTTTTCGTCATTTCTAATATTGAAATTTCGATTTCAAACATTTTTTTTGATAAAATGAAGAAAAATATGAAGTCACTTCCGAGCTATTGAATTTTGTCAGGCATCCAACGTCAAATCAAGTAACTCACTTCTAGCAGGTCGTAAAAGGAACTTTTTTCTTTCTGAAATGAATCCCAGCTTTTTAGCAACTAAGATAATGAAGAAATCTTAGAAAAATATCATCCGTACAATGTGACATTTTAACACTAAATTTTGTTGATACGTTGTTGAATTGAATCATTTTAAGGTCACTCAAAAAAGATACACTTATTGGTACCAGTTATCTCATCCCTATATGCCAATCTTCAGAAATATATGCAGGTATTAAAGAATAATCAAAAATTATTACAGTGTGAATTCATCAGTAGCATGTTGCAGCATCAATCTTCTGTATGGTTTACTCATTCAACTTTACTTTTTTGTTTACTGTATCAACAAATACAGACGCTACATGCTGATCTAAATAAAAGTTAAATGGCATAAAATCCCACTTCGAAAGCGAGCCGCTTGAATGTCTTCTGATTAGTTAGTTCTTTTCTGGTTAAGAAAACATACAGTTTTGCAGAAGATTGAAATTTCAACACACGACTGATGAATTCACATTGTGATAATGTTTGTTTATGGTTTAATCTTTGCCTAGAATCCTAAAGGTCGACATAAAATAATGAGATAATAAGTAAAAATAGACACATATGAGTGAGTGACCTTAAGATGATTAAATTCAACAACCTATCAACAATATTTAGTCGACAAATGTCGCATTGCACTGATCTCTGAGCTATGACCAAAACTCACTTTTTGAAGGGAGAGGAATAATTGCATTAATGCATTCTGTAAATGTATAAAGAACTAAGATATGACTATTTTCTATTTTAAACTAGTGATGTAGTTTCTTTCAACGCATTTAAAATTTTAATACTTATGCTGTCTTTGATGAATTCAGTATGTGATACGCATTCATTTTCTCGTTGATAGTGTGATATTTTTGATTATTCAAATAAACAAGACATGCATGTAAAATTGTATCGACTTAGACATATTTACTTAGAACATCTATAGAAATAAACTTTCACACATAAAAGAAAACATGAATTATAAACCTTAACTTGGATTTCAACATAGTAAACGATTGTAGGCGTAACATCTTTTTAAGTAAGAGATTACATATGTATGCCAAGTTGTATGTATTTTTCCATATTGATATTGTAATACTGATTGAAAAAAGTACCAATTCAGTTGCACTCTATTGAATATAGAAAAGAATATACAATAGAAGTGAAACATGAAGTTTATCTATTATGACATTCAGTTTGAAGAATTTCGATTAAAGTAGTAATAAAAGGACAGGTATATATTGTATATGGATTTGGTTGATCTAGTTTATTCAACAAATGATTTTTTGATCGAGAAAGTTTACAATTTAGCTAGATATTCATTGAATTAAACTCTATTCTTTTGTCTTCGTCAAGGTATGGAACACCCTATGTTGCACAACGTATGGCAACTTTAACATTAGATGCAATGCTTTATTTATCTGAAAATGAATTTACTCGTGTTGAACGAGAACGAAAGTTAGGAGTATTATTATGGCCTGAGTGGCATTATGGTGTACTAAGTATGTATGGTACACATTTAGCAGTTAATCATTTATTAATTTCCGAAAAACTTGATATAAAAAAAGCAGATGAGTTATTAGATCAATCAACAACAGATACAAATCAAGATAATTTAGAAAAAAATCATCGTTTACATTTACATTGTTGGCATACAGATAAACAATTTTCAAAATTTGCATTTAAAGCCGGAAAATATAATCATATACATCCACGTACACTTATTAATGATACATCAGCTCAAGCTTATGTAAGTTAAATTAAAGGATATATATATATTTGTTTTTTAATAATTGTTGAATTCAATTGTTTTCTAGGCTATGAGAATGGCATTGGAATCTCGATTAATGACACTTGATGAACTCGGGCAACATTTACATCTTATTGGTAGTAATAAAACAAAATAATTATTTGTTAGAATGTATATTGTGAAATCAGGTGTTTTTTTATTTATTTGTCTAATGTTATCCGGTGAATTGTATCATTCTATTCATTTCTTTTCGTTTTAAGAAAAATTCTATGAAAATAAAGTGTGATTTTATATAGAACAGTAAGAAATTAAATGTTAAATTTGTTATATTAAAGATGTAGTCTAGAATGAAATTTCAAATGAAAAAAAAAAAACGATGAACTAGCTCATTAAAAATAAAAACAATCGATTAAATTTCATTTGAATAAAATCTTTTCCATTTGCATGTTTAATCTTTTCTTTGGGTTTATATTTCTAAAAGAAGGATGAGTCCATAGTAGTCGTTCTGACAATTTTAGAAATACTACGTAGGTAATGGAGAAGTATCGGAAAATATCAGTGAAAGTTTATGGAAGGATAATAGCAATACTTTGACTTATGCTTCAATACCAACGAATGAATATTTTCAGAAAGAGAATAAAAAGTAATAGTGTAACATCTTAGGAATATTCTTATTTTATTGCTCAACATTAAAATTCGTTTCAATACGCTACATCTTTCTTCATGATTTTTTTTATCAAATGTTATATAGAAATATATCAGATTCTTGTCTATAACTCTAAACAGTACTAATCAATGATCTCTGCCGTTTGTGTAGAGAGTACTGATGATTAAAAATTTGATTCGTTATGCACTCCGTAAAAAATTATATCGACGAACCGAGAAATTTTTAAAATCGAAAAACTTTAATTTAAATGGTTAGTTTCGAAATTTTCATATAAAAGATTTCATGATTTTAATTATTTCAAAATCATTTCATCAGTTTCGTTATATTGACATCATTCCCATTTCGTGAATTCAGTTGTTACCTAAAAAAAACCAACTGCATGTCTTTCATTAATTTGACATCATTTTCATTATGCAACTTTAGTTATTTCTAAAATTTAAGATCATAATATTAGTTTCGTTTTTTCTACACCATTTTCATTACATAAATCTCCAACATTTGAAAAACGGATATGATTACATTAGTTCTACTAATATTACACCTTTTTCATTAAATTACTTTGATTAGTGCGTAAAACGAAAATTATTGAATGGTTTTCATTATTTTGTAAAAACTAAAATCATCATACTGCTTTGATTTAGTTAACATCACTATCATTACATGTTTTTTTTATTCTGAAAAACGAAAATTGTTGCATTAGTTTCATTATTTTTGAATTGTTTTAATTAGAAGATTTTCATGATTTCGAAAGAAATAGAATCATCACATTTCTTTGATTACAATCACATCATTTTCATTACATGATTTCGATGATTTTGCAAAAAAAAAATAATAAATCAGTGACTATGTCGTGATAAACATCATTTGTCATGATGTTTTTATGAAAACAAATGATGAGCATAAACAATGCGAATTTTCCTTACATACCTATCCTTATATATGCCACTTTCTCAATACATGGAATGTGTTAAAAGAGAGATCATGTCGTGCCTTGCTTTTTCCAAGGTTTATGAAAGATTTTTCATAATATATATACTTTACTACTTGATGTAACGGTAGAGTAAAATGAACACTTGAACAGTTCACCGTAGAGCCTCTCAAACGATAACCAGGCAAGACTTGTATAAAAATGAGAGTACAACTATCCACTCAGATGAGTAATTCAATCAGATGAAATTATCCTTGTCATGAGGAGACTTTCGTGCACTTTAAATGATTTTCATTAGAGGACTTCGATGCAAAATCTATCATTTTTGTGAATCAAAATTTTGATTTTCATCGATGAAATTCGAAAAACATCGAAAATAAGATCGTTTGATCATTGAAAATGGTACTTTTTACCATTGTACATCATCATTTTTTCCTGAAAAAAGCCTCATTAAAATGATGTAAATTACCGCATGTTTTGCCACTTTTTATTTATTGACCGTGCTTCAAGGATATGTCAAAGCAATTTTCTAGAGCTATTTACTTATTTCAATGGTTGTATCAACATATGTCACGACCATAATAGTTTGAATTCGTTTTATATAAGTATATCTGACTATAGAACCCGAATACTTTACTGTACTTAAGTATGATGAAGTATTTGAGCTTCATTGCCAGATATACTTATATAAAATAAATTGAAACTATTATGGTCGTGACATATGTTGATACTGTTATTAAAATAACTATATGCCTCCAGAATATCTCTTTGACATACTTTTATAGTTCGATACAGTAGGAAATTTTCTCTTTTTCTCTCGTAGACTTATATCACTATACATAAATATTGAGCATTGCTTCGTTAATATAGTAAAATCTCTCTATAGTGAATACCATCGGGATCCTCCAAAAAGTACTCACTAAGGGAAGTGTTCATTATACAGAGGCTTACATTGACTGAACTGTTACATATTTACAGTGGTCACTAATTACTGATTAGTATAACCAATTGATGATCATACACTTCACATATTAGAATTCACTTCAACTTGCTCAGATCACCAAACTATTTCTTTCAATTATTGCGTAAGTTTATTTATTTTTATGAAAGACGTTGATCTTAGGCCTGATTAGCTTCTTTCGAGTCGACGAAAATTTGAGTTGCACGACAAGAGGATGCATTCATCGTTTCTGAGAGGCAATCAAGGTTGAAACCCGTTCGAAAATAGTAAACCGGTCTGGTCCGATCTGTGAATCGGCCAGTTAGAATCATATGTTCAATCGGCGAAATTTCGGTGAAACCGGTTAAAAACCAGCGAAAAGATGATGAATTCTTTTAAGAACGATTTTATAAAAAAAATGGCTTCAAGTATGAGATCGTTTAGAAGCGCATGTAGAAGACACTCAACAAAATCAATCTTTTCAAAGAGAACCTCAGAACAAATAATTAAAATAACATATGTTTTCAGCACTCATTTAAAATAATCGCCACCTTAGTTTTAATAGTCGAAGATAGAGCCAACAAAGAAGATTTTTTTCAAAACTTTCAACCGGTGAAATTCCTGTCTGTACCAGCCCGGTTGACTTTTTCAACAGATTCGGCTGAACCGTTACCGGTTTGTCGGATCGATTCCAGCTCTGGAGACAATGATTAAGAGTAATCATCTGACTATTCCCATTGCCTTAATAAGCTTGAGTTCTGTTTCAATCGGCATGTCCCCGTCATCTTACAATCGTAAATGGAACAATGCGTCATTCTTTTATATGGGACCGATTGGTTGGTGGCGAACTATTTATTATTATTGCTCCTTTCTGTCGATACATATGACGATTTATCTTGGAATCGACAGACCTTTGATGAGTTGGCCGAGCACCGCTTCAGAATGTACGCTGCATTTTCTTTCTTTCGCGTGTTTCATAGACACGCACTTATTTTGTGGCGCGTACGTTCACTATGTATAGGTTTTCTTTGATGAAAGGACCAGAAATAGTGTTCATTGTTTAGAATTGGAAGATGTTCACTAATAGAGGTTTTACTTTATACACATAGTATATAATGCAAAAATAATAATTGTTTCAAATGTCTATCGCTGCATTCATTCGATATGATCTACTAAAATAATATGTTCCGTATGGATATAATCAAAACCATTCTTCGCTTTTTTTATTATAAATTGTAACACATGTTGGCATATCACAGCTTTTCAATCTATACTTCTGATGTAGTTCTATTTTCAATTGTGTGGCATGAATAAGACATGCACAAATGAAACTAGGAGAACATTTTCTCTTTCGACGTGCAAACCATTCGTTTCAATAAGCCACATCCCTTTTCCTTATTGTTTTTTACTGAATATTATAAAGAAATATGTCAGTTTTTTGTGTATGATCTTGAATAGTACAGGATGATGGTATTTTTCGTTCGGATGTAGAATAACCAACCATATTTTGAAAATTCGGTCGATTATGCGTTTCGCTACAATTCGTGTCGCCGAAATGAGAATCACTGAAACTCGACAATCTAACGTTTTGATGGTATTTTAGACAATCGAAAGTTTCAATATATTTAGTTTTAAAGAAAACGAAACCAAGAGATTTTTCTAATGGTGATAATTTTATTGTTTGATAAGAAATTGACAACTTTATTAAAAGTTTTTTGTCTTTTTCAAAACATATTTTTTGTAATCATTCGATCGAAAATTATCATTTATTCATCAAAGCAAATCATTTTGAACAATTAATAAATCGAAAGTATAATTGTATCAATAACTCTTATAAATAAAAATCATAACTCTGAGCATTGATCTAAAAATAACATTTTTGTTTGTTCTTCGTCATGCTCATCTGCTTGCCAGGTTTTTCTTATCATGCATAGCACATATAGTTTATTAGATCTTTGTTTTTGTTGTACTATTATCACATTTGGCCACAGATGTGAAGAATCACTACACAAACTAAAGGTTCTGTCAGATGTCAATGACTTATTAATGTTATATCTATCCTTAAAACATCATAGAAAAAAATAACCAAGATGATATCGTTGTCTGTTGTCACGAGAAAACCAATATATCGTATTCTCTTGATATTTATTATTGTACCATTGATCCTAGTTGCAATAGTTGTATTTCGCCAATCAAATACACAAATCTTTCCATATATACAAGTAGTAGATGGCACAACAGAACAAACTAATAATAATAATAATAGTAATGAATATTTTCCTCGTATTCACCAACCATTATCATCATCTATATTACGTGGCATTATAATTTTTTATCCACATGATCAAGAAATTAGTTTCGCATCCGAATTATTATGGCTTTATCGTTCATGGATTGAAATGATGAAAAATGAATCATCATCATGGCGAACAGATTTAATTATTTATACAGGCAATTTTACTTCACATCTTCAACAACTTGGTTGTATTTATAATCATATTCGAATAGATAAATATGAATCACCTCAATGTCGCGTTTTTCCTTATCAACGTATACGTTCACGTGATATACGAAATATCAATAAGATAGATGATAACCTTTATCAACAAATTGATATAGATCGTTCAATATTACTTAAAACACATCTTCAAACATATGAATATATAGATTCAATTAATATTATTGCTGAATGTTATCAGTCATTTGCTATGTATGATTATATTTTACGTACAGATATAGATGTTTTTTTAACACCATATTTTGGTCATTTTATTCCATACAATGACATATTCCTTGTTGGTCGTGGTTCTTATTCAACAGCATTTAATACTGGACGTCTGAGACGTATTGCACATCATATGAATTGGTTATATGCAAATATAACTAATATTGGATCAACTTGGTAAGTTATTCAATACGAATATTTATACAATAGTAATAAAAAAACATAAGATCTTTTTCTATTAGGTATGGACCACCACTAGTGGCGTAACCAAGGTAGGGCCAGGGGGGGCTCAGCCCTACCACTCGACCTTTCAGCCCTACCACCGGAGTTAGCATCGTCAGCTAAATCCTTTCGTGAGCCCTACCACCATACAGACTTCAATAGCCTGAGCCCTACCACCCCACAGACTTCAGTAGCCTGAGCCCTACCACCGCCAAAATCCTGGTTACGCCGCTAACCACCACGTGTAGCTCAACGTATTGCTAATTTTAGTTTGGAAGCTATGTTATATCTGTCCATGAATGAATTTACACGGGCCGAACAACAAAGAAAATTAGGCGTATTAGTATGTTTTATTTTTCATTTTCCTATAGTTTACAAGACATATATATCATTTTGTATAGCTTTGGCCTGAGTGGCATTATGGTGTACTTTTGTTATATGGTTGTGAGTTGGCAATTAATCATTTAAGATTAAGTGAAAATATTAATCTAGGTTTAGCTCATAAATTATTAGATCAACTAACAACAAGTAAAGATCCGTATGATTTAGAAAACAATAATCGTTTACATTTACATTGTTGGCATACTGATGAAGAATTTTCAAAATTTGCATTTAAAGCTGGAAAATATAATCGTATACATCCACGTAAATTTATTCATGATACATCAGCATCTGGTTATGTAAGTAGAATTTTTGTGAATAGAAATGATATTTAGTTTTTATTTTTTATGTATAATTAATTTTGTAAAATTTAGATTAGAATTATATGTTGAATTTATTCATATGAATCTTGTATTTTAGGCAATGCGAATGGCATTGGAATCTCGTTTAATGTCATATATTGATTTGAAAGAAGCACGTATGAATGTGAAAAATTCGTCAAGATTATAATTTTTATTTTTTTATACCGAATTGGTTTTGGAAATTTTATTTTTCTTTTATCTAGGATAAATAAAGAAAAGAACTTCTAACATATGTTATTTTAAGTCTATCAATTTTGTAAAAGAACTCTGTGAAGAAAGTCTATAATTAAAATGAGTCACGAAGCAAAACAGATAATTCGACATCTCGTAACAGAATTTATTCTGAAAATAAGTATAATAATCTGTTGTGTTGTTCTATGTAATTTATTGGTCATGATAAATTATTTCTTGTTAGCATGTAGTAGTGTCTTGCATGGATACGGCTTTTCACAACCGGATTAGTCATAATATGGTTTTTAATCTTTTATTTTATGTGAAAAAGTATACTATTTATTTTCTTCCATAAACAGCAACAGAAAAAGGGATCATCTCAAAATCCACAAAATAGCAAGTGAATCAAATGATTTAGGATTTAGTCGATGTTTTTGTATTTCTCAAATCCGATCAATTTCGCTAGTTGTAGTTTTACTTAGTGCAAATGATGTTGGGATGGCATACGGTGTTGGGGTCAAATGCCATAAAAATCAGGACATACAGGAATGCTTTTGTCATCAGGATAATACATGTTCGTGTTTTTGGTAATTGATTTTTCTCTTTATGTATTCAATGATTTCATCGGATGGGTCATCATAATCTCTAGATGAGTTTTCATTAGAAATGAAGTTTTACAATACTCAAGCATGATCGAGTTGGTTTTCACGTCTATACTTTCAGATCAACTTGCAGCATGAAAAAGTGAATATATTTCAAAATGTCGAGGTCTCGTTAGCTTTCAAGTTGGATCCAAGTATGAGATCATACTCAGGACCCGAATGGACATTCTTTTCAATGCCTGGCGCTCTAACCGACCGGGCGAGTTTACATTCTATTGATGTCATGTCGTATACATTTTAAGGTGAAGAAGTGCCAAAAGATAAAAATGTTGATTCCTTTTCTAGTACAATGGTAGTGTAAGTACTCGATGATCAAAAGGGATCAATAGCGTGAAATTTGAAAGTTAAATTCAATGATTGGAAACCTTTTCAGAAAATCCAATATTGCCCTGTTTATGTTATTTTTGTGTAGCACCATTAGCAAGAAAGTTAACTTTGTGCGTGTATTTATGTGGATACCTGAATTTTGAATAAAGTGTAGACTTAAAAAACGTTTTCAAGACTTCTTTTTATAAATCTTGTTTTTCATGATGATTCAGCAAAATCTTCGAACGATTGATCAGTTTTCAAAATTAATGAATATATTCATACCTTGGAAATTCATTCATTCATATTTTGAAAGAATTTATCTAATTAGCATAATTTACAATGGAAGCAGTCTGATTGTACATTTTCAAAGCTTCAACTGAAATGAAAAGCTTTTATTGAACTGAAATTTCTACAAGTAAATGAAAAGCATTGTTTTAATAAATCTTATTTTCGCTCTTTTCCAATGAATTTAATTGCATCTAACTTTTTGTTATCACTAAACCAAGGAAGCAAACGTCCGATGGCCTAATTGATGTTTTACCTAAATAACATTTCTAATCTTATTTCAGCTTTCCCATTAGGTTTAATTTTTTCAATAATAATTAATTTTTGAAAAACTTATTCGTAGCTATGATAAAATACATATTCGTAGTAAAATAAAAATTGTCTCTTAATGAAAATAATCTACGCATAAAAGTTTCAAATAAATGGTCTAGCTTTCTCGTGATATATGTAGATGTAACTGAGAATTTCTTCTCCGTCCACACCAACACTTCAAACAGATCGCTACTGACCAGTGGAAATACCTTGTTTTTCGACATTTCAGCACTTCATAAACAAATCCAATCGCTGAGTATTTTGATAATTCAGGTATGAATCAAAGCATACCATAAATTTTTTACATTGGTTGATGTCTTCCTTATGGAGACAAGTTTTTATTAAAATCGCAGTCAACTTTATCTTAATTGCGTTGATGTTGATGGTTACCCCAGCATTGGACAATGTGGTTTGCAAAGATCTCACATACCGTAATGAAGGCAATTCTAGAAACCAACGGTAACAATCCATTTTTTGAGAGACGACATCTTGCATCAGACCACGATCGACTGCACCACACTATCAAAAATTAAAAAATACATCAGTTTTTCCCAATCGAAGTATAATTAATATGCGCTCTTGTCTTGGCACATTTCGTGTCTCACATAAATGCAGTGTCATGCAATATGTACGGACGACATGAATAGCTTACTTCACTCTGCATAGAAGTTTTTTATGACAGACGTCGTAATAACGCCGTCACTACACAGTTTCTCAAAGAGTAGCATACCTGTACTTTGTAAAATTTAAAAAAATTCTGGTTATCTTAAGTTTTTTTTACTCATATAAAAACCACGGTGAGATGAAACTCTGCTTTCACTGTTTATATTAGACTGAGAGTCATTTGCTTATTCCAGTTTTCGAAAACCTTTACCGTAGATTAAATGAGATCACTATGAAAAACAATGATCTGATACTGTGTGTGATAGAATATATTAATTTTGCTCTCCTCATTTTGAAATGTCTAGTGCTTTTTAGAATTAAGAAACTTTACTTTGAATAAATCTCTAGATTCATCATAAAAATATTCACTATATCTATATGGCGTGCCATCTATAAAGAGTCCATAATGTTTCAGAACGTGTCACTCGCTCTGCAAAACTACTCTTCTTAGTCGCATGAGCAAATATCATCTTTGAAACTGCTGTCTGAACAAGTATATTGTCGTGATTAAGTAAGATTTAATTCAGATCGAATGATAAATGTAGAAATTTCTATATATTCAATTTTAAATTGTCTTCATATATCGTTCAATATGTTGCTACATTATATTATCGTAGCATAATTCATTAGCTTTATATAATGTACATGTTAATGTCGATGAATCTACGTCTAGTTTTAAGTACTCATGTCATTGAAACCGTGTAAGTTTTGACACTTTTTCGAATAGTACAATAAATCTTAATTAATCGCGATATTTCACAAATAACAACATAAGAATCATCTATACAAAAATCATTCATACATTTTCTATTTCTAAAAACCAAGTAAAAGACAATCATGATAATTTTTGCCCTCAAAAAGAATATTTTCAGTATTTCCATGAAATGATATCTGATAAAAATCTTGGACTTCATATATACTGTCTGATTTGAGTTACAACCAATAAGAAAACAGACATGATTATTTTGTTTTTTTTTTGTCCAGTCGTTGCGTAATCCATCTTATTTTATTTGACAAACTATTCTAATCAAAAATGACTTCAGCAGTAAATATGTTATTTCAAAAAGTAAATCAAATTAATTTTAGTTAGATTAAAATCTACAATAATTTCATTAGCAAGTATAGCTGAAATAAAAAATTATATTTTATATTCAAGAACAAGGAGAAAAGTAAACCTTATCCCTTCCAGTTATGATAATACGACAATGAACGATTTTATATAGGAAATTTTGCAATAGTCATAATTATTGTACTAGACTCCTTGAAGATTCTTTTATTAAAAATTGACTAAAGTTTATTAATTTAATAATAATTGCAGACTAATTACGATATTATCTTATGATTAATGAACCTTATAAATCATGATAAAATCAACAAGTTTTGTGCAATTTTAATGACATGAATTATCATTTATCAGGAATACCTTTGAAATCCAATTTTTACAAGCATGAAATAACTAAAACTTTCTTGCATAAATATGAACTGTTTTCAAAAGTGTCATCAGTTAAAAATATTTTAAACATTATTATATTGAAAATTGGATTATACCATGAGATAGACGTCTTCAAATACTAAATAGAAGCCTTGAAATCGATTCTTAAATAAATATGGGCAACTGTTTCTCGAATTTGATGCTAGCTCGACCCCAGATACCCGTAGAGATGAATTCTTTTAAGACTTTTCTAGTCTTACTAAGACGTCTTTGTGAACCCAATATGAGCTCAAAGTTTAGATATCAGTTCGAATAGTTGCCTTGTAAATATAAGCTCGTTTTACGTTTATAAGATCTCATAGCAATTCATGAACTATTGTTTAGTCGATTGTTAATGACCTCTATCGATATGTTTACAAGCAACTTGATTTTTTCTTCTCTTCCTAGTTGATTTTAAGTAACGTATCAGATAAAGCTTTGAAAAGAAAATTGACATGGCGTAATTGTTTAGATCTTCCACTTTGTTTTTTCTTTTAAGAAAAATTTTAATATCAGTATGTAAACTATGAGATGTTATTTTAGATTATTTCTATTGATAACAATGAATAATATCATCAATGAAAATCATATCATAATAGTTTATAGATAAATTTTCATTCATTTTCTAAATATGACTAGTCGTGAAGGATTAAATCGAACTCGTTTACGACAAACAAATCCAAATGTTGATCAAGTATTAACACCATTAGGACGAATATCATCGACAGTTCCTTCAATTCCACCTTCAACAAATCTTAGTTCAATATCATCAACAACAGTTGTACAAATATCTGGTAATGTTCGTGCTGGACGTCGTAATAATCCAACAAATAATATTCTTGAAACTGATTCAAATTCAATTAATGATATTGTTACATTTGATACAACATTATCAACACCATTAATAACATTCGATGCTGAACAATTTCGTTCGGAAATAAAAGCTAATCGACATGATGAAAAACGTTTAGAACAATTAGTACTCAATGCAATAAATTATTTAATAATAACATCAAAACGTTCAACACAACAAATAGCTGATTATACTGTTTTACCATTTCTTGCATGGACTGCATCATTACATGGAGAAATTTTTCGATTATCATCTGTATTAAAAGCTATGTGTAATTTACTTAAAGGATCAATATTAACAAAAACAATGAAAACATTTCCAACAATAAATAATGGAAATAATTTAGGATTAACGACAACTCCTTATACACTTGTTTGTCATATACTTTGGCTTGCTTTTAAAGTATGAATAAGAAATTTTCA